TATTATTATACGTCTTCTGTACATGTTGGTTTCATAAAATGGCAGTGAAGTTCTCCTTTTCGTTTTCTTCTAAAGGTACTGAGTTTTATCAAAGACTAATCATGATTTGTAAGATCTTAATTATCAAAGGTTTTTGTATTTAATTGGTAAATATTACAGAAGTTAAAGGTGGTTGTCAAATGATTATTTAGTATTATGTCTTCTGGACATGTTGGTTTTGTAAAATGTGAGTGAAATTTTCTTCTTCGTTTTCTTCTAAAGGTACTGAGTTTTATCAAGGACTAACCATGATTTGTAAAATCTTAATTATCAAAGGTTTTTGTATTTAATTGGTAAATATTACAGAAGTTAAAGGTGGTTGTCAAATGATTATTTATTATTATACGTCTTCTGTACATGTTGGTTTCATAAAATGGCAGTGAAGTTCTCTTCTTCGTTTTCTTCTAAAGATACTGGGTTTTATCAAAGACTAACCATGATTTGTAAAATTTTGATTAGCAAAGGATTTTGTATTTAATTGGTAAATATTACAGAGGTTAAAATTGAAGATGTAGCATTATACCTTCTGTGTACATTTTGGCACCATAAAATGGCATTAAAGTTGGCTTCTTCGTGTTCTTCTAAAGGTACCTTTACTTGTCTTTCATAAACTTATGATGATTTGTATCATCTTTACTAGCAATTAAGAGTTATCTAGTGGAAATATAGTGTAGTACCCTTTCTACAATGTTCCGTACACTTTAGTACCTCAAAATGGTATTGAGGTTGTCTTCTTCATGTTCTTTTAACTGTTCTGAGTTTAGGAATACAAATTATTACATCCATCATTTGTATTGGCATGTTTTTTGTATTCAATTGTCACCGTACATTATGGTGCCATAAAATGGTACTTACTGATCTTGTATTCTTCGTATTCATGGAAGTTAAGGATTTTCTTGATGTGAATATGGAAAAGACATTGTAGGGAATCTGTTTACCGCTACATGGGTAGTTATTTGGGTTTCTTATTAATTATTTTCTAGTCGAGGATAATTTTTCGCATGGGGAAATGGGTACGCGGCATTTTTGCGTGAACCAAGTAATGTATATGTAAATTTTCCTTCATTTACTTTTTGTAACGCAAAAATAGACTAACGCACGTTGGTGTACGGATACGTATGTGTGTCAGGTTTAGATATGTATCAAGTACTGCCGAGGCAAAAACAATATATCTTAATTACAATATAAATTAGTTTCCGTCACTAGATAATAACAATAAGAAACAGAATTAAGAAACGATGATTAATGTTGGTTGTATGCCTTATGTAGAGGCGTACCGTCGAAATTAAAAAGGAATAATTTATCCAGCCTGAAAGCTATTTGTTCGTGAAAAAGAATCGAATTCAAAGGGGCCGACGTTTGGAAGCCATTTTACTACGACAACAACCTATGAAATGCTCGCCTTCTTTATTAGAGAGATATATATATTATATGTTATGTTGCTTGTGTTGATGCCATATGCGTTCTTAAATCTTTCTCTCTCCCATCATCATCTTCATCTTCCACTACTTTAATCGAAAACTGGTTTCAAACTTGTTCTTTCATTTTTTTTTTCTTTTTTAATTTGATCGGAATAATTTTAAATTGAATTCTGAGTCTAATAAATTCATTTCTATGTACATACTCGACAACGAGATGTATATACGGCACTATAGCATCACAGGTCATTACCATTTGCAAAGAATTCTAAGTCGGTAATTGGTACCAATGTTGGTACCTTTTTACCTAAACGAATTGTGTGTGGGACAATCGTTGTTAAATTTATCAGTAAATATCGACATTATTTTATAGATTATTTTTTAATCGAAGTGCCGAAAATTGATTTTGTATTTGTTAGGCATGTTTGGCAATGATTAGAACAAAACGTTCTACAGCAATGAGATAACCAAAATTTAGCTGTATGAACAATAGTGGAAATGGAATTTTAAAATAATAAGAACAAAGGGCGATAACTAAAATGATAACAAAGTTTCACCTGTTCATGTTCTATTAAAATCGCTAGTAATTTTAGTACTTATTATTGATCGGTCAAGAAAGCTGCATGAAGTTTAACTTGATGTGAATACACCTTTTTTTTTAATTATTATTGTATTGTGGATGCGTTTATAGAAAAAATGGTATGTAGGCAATTTTATCATTGCTATTATATCAAAATTATTACAACAATGACTTATTTCCGTAGGTTATTAAAGTTTAATGTTAAGTAGTTTTGACAAAAGCTTTTAACTTTTGCTTTCTCTAAATTTCGTTGGATATGTCGTGTGGCGGCTTAAAAAAATTTAAGATATTTTTCCTAGATCGTCTAGATAGGTAGAATTTATTATAAAAAAGTTAAAAGTAAATTAAATAGTGAACTAAAACTACCCATTTTTCGGTAAATGATCACTAAACCACAGCCATTTGACTTTCGCTAGAAATAGAGAAAGCCGATATAGGAAGACAACTGCACAATTCAAAATCAACAAATTTTTTCAATAGTTTTTATTAGTTACCGTTTGGAACAGTTTCGTTTTGTTTTTATCTTTGGTTCAATATTTTTAATGGCGACGGTTTGCAACGGCGTAGAACGTCTTATACTTTTTATGCTAATAAACAACATTTAACTTTCACAAAAATCAAGGAACAATTGTCATTTACGATAAAAAAAGCAAAGAGTAAAACTTCCACGTTTATTTTTTTTAAAAGTACTCCTATACATTTCGTTTTAGGAAATGTTCAAACTTGATGTGTAATGAATGCTGTCTTTTATATCATCTCGAAATATTATTTTCAATTCAATCATTAGATGGACGAATTATATTTATTACGTTTTGTGTGATAATTCAATACCTACTTGATAGGTAATATAATAAAACAAGTTGAAGATTTTACTGAAATATCAATGCGTATGTATATTGTCAATCAAAATTATATTTAAAGAAAAATCATCCCACAGGTATGTTTAATAATAAAAATACGTCTTTTTAATATTTCGCCTCGACCTTAGGTATGCGAACGAATAATTCAATCATTGTTATCAGTAAAGCCATGTCGATAGTTTAGTTTATGTTCAATAGAAATGTTAATTTAACGGGAAATAAACTTTTCAAAAAACTCTTAACATGTCACATATTTTTTCGTGAAACTGCTTAAAATAAATACTTTATACTAATAGAAATATTGTTACTGTTTTTTTTGGTAAGTTTATGGTATGTATAGTAGTTTGCGATGTTTCTCTCTTTATGAATTGAAGATGTTAACTCACGGTGATACAGCTCGACGTGTTGAAAAGTTGCCAGGTTGTCCAATTGATACCAAATTGATTAATAACGATTGGTTTTCAGTTTCATTACCTATTAACAATTTATATGCTTTGCTACCTATGTAAATACTTTTATTTCTTTACTCCAATCGAAAGGAACTGCCTATTAATAATAATTCAATAAAAATTTTATGTAAGTGAATATAAACAAATTGCGATATTTGCCTTCTATTACAACAGTTCTTTTATAAAATACAGAATAATACAGAATTAAATAATAATAGTGTTTGAAGAATGCCTAGAAATAAACTCAAAAATTTGCCCCAAAAGGTCGTTTGTGTACATCTACTTAACTTTGTTGTGAGATGTAAGGGGTATTCCAAAATTAATCAATTTGGTCCCGAAAGGGAAAATAATTTTGCGACTTTCTCTTTCTACAATAGAATAATGATAATCAAAGAAGTCAAAATTTTACTGTAGCAATTTTATACAAATAACTAAATTGCTTAGATTGCTAGTTGATTGTGTGTTTGTGTTTTTTTACGAAAACAAAATGTCGGCGTAATGGTGGAATAGCACGCGGACTTTGGGTACATTAAAAAAGGCTCCGTCAATGCAATTTAGACCAGGCAATATCCCAGCCAATGAGAACAAAACTAATTTTCTTGTTGTAAAGCAGGGGAACAAAGTAGGGTGCCACGGCCAGGTAGAACCAGTTTCTCACCGGGCCTTTTTATAATTCTTCATCAAATCATTTTTCTTTTTGGTGCTTCTCATAACGTTTGATGGTCATTTTTAAGCTAAGTAATCAAGTGCATATGTGGGATTTTCCTTTGAAAGAAACAGTACGTTGCAATTAGTGAAATGTGTTCAAAAATTAACCGAATAAGGGCTACTAAATGGTAGTTAAATTAGGTAAAGGTTGCTTCATTAAGAGTGACGTTTTTTTTTTTTACTTATCTATTTAATATGGGATAGTATTAATCCTTGTGTCTTTCACCCCGTTGGGCGCCATAGATAAGAACCATAGTGTTCCATTGTTCGTGATGTGAATCCCCGCTAGACGTTTTATCTTGATTAAAGAGATTGTTAGTCGCCACCCAAACGTAGGAATATAGAATCATGATATCCCGGCTTAATCATATATGCCGCTGTCTTTCTTAATAATAATCGACTATCGAGATGACACGTTTTGGTACTTGTCAGATATTGGATTTAACAATTGTCCATTTATTGTGTCGATCTTTGATTTGTAAGACAGCTATTATATATAGCCTGTCCCCGGTGCAAACCGGAACTGAAATATAATATTCTAATATCTATCTAAGTCTGTAAGGACACAAGAATAATAATAATAATAAGTAGCAGAACTTTCCCTGTGAACGATTTTAAAATCGATTTCGACTCGTATCTATTTGTGTTTGGACTTTTTCATTTAGTTTTAGGAAAACGAATAACTTTTTCACACTGTTAAGATTAGATCTGTTGTTAGATAATAGATATTTTGAATCAAGGTCTGCGACAAGCTTATCGCGGTTGAGGTAGATATGGGAAAAACAAATGCCTAATTTGACAATCTAAATATGTTGATCAGAGAGAGAGCAATTTTGGATTTTTATTTTCTGTGAGATGTACATATCTCCCGATTGTAATTTTTGTGCCATTTTTGCGTTACGGGTTGGGAAAATGTCGATTATCGTAAGTTCCTTTTTCTTTTTAGGGGAATATGTGATAAAAGAAGATCTCAACGAACCTGTTTCTGGCGCGGCTTACAGTTCCTCTTGCGATTTGCCGCTCGAGGATCTGTCGCTACCGCTGCCAGAATACCTTCTCGAAGAAGCCCTCCAACTTATTGGGTTAGACGATGAAACTCCTGAAGTAAGTATTCCAGGATGCAACACTAATCCTTTTTCTGCCACTTGCCGGAGGAGACTTTTAGCTATTGAATATTCTTCTCCTTTTGCTCTAGACTGGCGTGAACGCTAAGGAGATTGAGAACGTATCTTTTGCCCCCGATAAGCAGGACGTCCATCCTGCAGAGCCTGTTGGTACTGAAACGGCAGAAATTTCTGAAAATCTTCTGTTGGAATCAGTTTTACCTTCAGCTGATTCTAATTTGGCAGCGCCAGAAAAAGCCGATTCGTTGCTTGCAGGATCTCAGAGTCCTAAAGAGGCTTCCACTTCTGAAGAAGCTGGCAAAGAAGTGAAACTCGAAGACGATTTAGACATACTCGCAGACATGATTCAGACATCTCAATTTCATCATCCCCATCCCCATCACAGAGCTTTCCAGGTAAGATTTAGTTCATAAATATTTTTTTTTTCGTATGTTACAAGAGTTTAGAGAAAATCTTTTCCAATATTAACACCATTGCGAGGACCTTGTTTCGATACCATCAAACTGGCAAAATTTTTATAAAATTGAAATGCTTTACCTAGTCCACATTTTCGTGTTTGTGTTTTGCTAGAAATTCCTTGAGCAGTATTAAGTAATTATATATATATATATAGAANTATATATATATATATATATAGGTACCTTTATTATTGTAATTCCTGAAGTGCTATGAAGTGTAATCGATGTCACCTTGAGAATACCCGCAAAACTTTTCTAAAAAAGGAAAAACATCGGACGTCCTATCAGACAGCGCAAGTGCAGACTGATAGTTTAGGCCATTAACTAAGTATTAATAAATGTTTTTATCTTATCCTTTATATTTAAAATAAATAATCGAACTGCCAAACGTGGTCTAGTTGCAATACGGGATCATACGGACATGATAATTTCCTGGTTACATAATGGATATAGCTACAATTAGGTTTCGAACCGTCAAAAACGTAAAATCGTTGATGATATTATTTATTTATAATTAGTTGCAAGTGTAATTAATTCTTCTAATTGAGTATGCGTAGTAATACACTTTATTGTAAAGGTAAGTACTTTATATTTTTTTATTAAAACTCATTATCCATTTGTTTTATTGATTACTTATAATATAAATAAAAACGATTTTTCATTTAAATAGAAATCTATTAGAAATGCGTAAAAATTTAGGTTTTTGAAAAATTTCTGATAACACTCGCGTAGTTTTTTTTTTTTTGTAATAACCCGTACTTCTCTAGAGTATACATGTACATATATACCATGTCACGAAATAATAACAAATTTTTGACCTCGCTTTGTTTCATCCTTAGCTAAATTACTAGTTTTGAACACGCGCTCTCATTGAAATAAACCTAAGGTAACATTTAAAATGAAATTAGTATCATACACGTTTTGATGACATCAGTCTTGTTAAAATTTACCATCAATCGGATACCAAAACAGTCGCATTTTAATTTGGAAAAATAAAATTTGTCTCAAAATATAGTACTTGCCTATTTAAATAAATTATGTAAATAAGTGTTTTTGTTTTTATTGTACTGTAAGTAATGTTACGTATTTTATTAAGTAAAGGCCTTGATTTGCACTTGCCGAATTTGGGAATGTTTAAGTGCTTTCGTGTACAATAAACTTAAAATTTCAAAGAGCGTTCCCTGGTGGTACAAAGGGAGGATTGTGGATTGGTAAGCCGCAAAATCTCTATTCAAAAGGAGCGGTTCGAATTAAAAGTAAATTTTACACTTGCTCTGCAGCAGGTAGTACTTTCCTTTCTGGTTTTGAAAAGGTAAGATGGACAGATAGTGTATCTTCCCTGTGTCGATGATAATTTGACAACAGAACCCACAAAATACAATAGGATTCGAATAGTTGACTACCTAAAGTCATTTGTCAAAAAAGATCTTTACTCAAGCCGCAGAGTGCGACTTCAAAGAGAATTTAATATTTTCATTAATCAACCAAAATAGTGTCTTTGAAGATTTTTAATACTTTTATTGAAGATTCGTAAAAACGTAAAAGAAAAATGAGCTAATAATGTAAAGTGCAAACAAAATAGAGGGTTGTTTTAAAGATACGTTTAAGTAAACTTAGTCAAGAGCAGTTCTGACTAAAATAAATATTGGTTTCGGGGACGAATTAAGGCAAGAAATATTTTTGGTCTTTCAACAATAGCTGAGGATTGTACTTGAGACGACAGGTTGTAGTACTAGACTTGATCTCTAAATAATATTCCCACGAAACGGACACATATTTTCGCCATGCGGGGTCGAAAATTATTCACTATCTTCGGAAAGAAACATTAAAAAAGGTTTTATTATTGTAGCTATATTTTGCTTTTTTTTTCGGAAGTCTATTTCATTTTTTTTTCTGTATTATTTCAGTATTTCGGAGATATACGAGACAGTAATACTTTTTCGTATATTTCTGACCATAAGTTGAAAATTTTAAAAACAATGCAGGAAGGTATTGAAGTAAATTCTTTTCATTTGATAATATCTCGCTCGACTCTGTTAAATTTCAGCCCCCTGTACCGGATCCCCATTACAACCAAAATTGTAGTAATAATTACGTGCTTGGGGAGGCATTACAAATATGTAGTAAAAGAAGAGATACATGAGATAGGTTGGTAGGATATCTTCTTAGTCTTAGTTAGAGACATTATTAAGGTCAAAAACAGGAGTGTTAGATGTATGTTTCTCTAGTTCAAGATAAAAGAAGTGGATGTTTTCGGGTTGAAGATCTTACGATGATTTTTTTCAGGGCCGTATGCCATTTGTTCGTACCATGAGCATGGAACAAAGATGGCAAGATCTGGCAAATTTATTGAGCTTGCCAAACCCCAGTGACTCGAACGCAATGCCTCATCCCTTCAGCCATCATCACGCATTGCACAATTACAGCCATCCTCACTCGCACAACATGGGCTATGGTCCCGATGCAGCACGAGGGGTTCTTCTTCATAATGCTACCCTTACACCACCCATGGGCGATCTAAATTCATCTGTACCATACGCCAATATAGGTTTGTCCATTTTATTCCTGTCGGTGGTAGTTTTAGATTGTTCCGATTTCGTCGTTTCAGTTTAATTATTTTGACTTTCTGCAGCCAAAGTATTTTTTGCAGGAGGTACGAATTTGGGTAACGCCGTAGCCACTTCTATGAATCTCACAAATAGTAGTGAACCAATGGGTGAATCTGCCCCAACTCCTCATTACAAGGTCGAACCATCCCACGACATAATGTACTATCAGGTTGGTTGAAATAAACATTTTTTTAATGTATCTATATGTTGCTCTAATTCTTTGTTTTCTTGTTTCAGAATGGCTCCGAAATAAATCAGACTGATGGGTTCCTTTCATCAATTCTCAACGACGAAGACTTGCAGTTAATGGACATGGCAATGAACGAGGGTAAGTCACTGTTGTCATTATCTTTTATTTTTTTTGTCATATAAACTGACAAGCATTTGGGCGCATATGGTACAAATTGAAATTGGCCTGAACCATTCTAAAGTGCGAAATTTTGATGGTCCAAATCTGACAATTGGCCAGAATGGACAGAAAATTTTGAATCATTGGAAAGTGTCCGATTACGAATCATTTCGTTGGTATTCGCAAAAATAGGTTTTCTTTAAAACACAGGTCACTTTGGTACTTATTCCTTACTACGTCCTGCTGAGTATGTATCATACATATTGAAATTGGCTTAAGCGACTGTAAAGTACGAAATTTTGCTTGTTCAAAATTTGAAGATTGGTTAAAAAGAACCCGAAATTACGAATCATTTCGTTGGTTTTCGCAAAGATACGTTTTCTTTAAAGTACAGGTCACCTTAGGTACTTATTCCTTACGACATCCTGCTTGGTATGTACCATACAAATTAAAATTGGCTTAAACCACTGTAAAGTGTGAAATTTTGCGTGTTCAAAATTTGAAGATTGGTTAAACAGGACCCGAAATTACGAATCATTTGTTGGTTTTCGCAAAGATACGTTTTCTTTAAAGTACAGGTCACCTCGGTACTTACTCCTTACAACATCCTGCTGAGTATGTATCATACAAATCGAAATTGGTTTAAACGATTGTAAAGTGCGAAATTTTGCTTGTTCAAAATTTGAAGATTGGTTAAAAAGAACCCGAGATTACGAATCATTTCGTTGGTTTTCGCAAAGATACGTTTTCTTTAAAGTACAGGAGGTCACGTTAGGTACTTATTCCTTACGACATCCTGCTTGGTATGTATAATACAAATTGAAATTGGCCTGAATCACTATAAAGTCCGAAAGTGTCCAATTTTGAAAATTAGTTAAAGTACAAGAAATTATTTTCTTTCACTTTTGTTAAAAATACTTTTTCATCAAAACGAAGATCACCTTGTACTTATTTACACTAATATTATACAAATTGAAATTGACCTGAACCACTAAAAATTGCGACGAAGTTATGTTGGTCTACGTTTGAAAATTGGTTAAAAAGAACCCGAAAGTATGAATTATTTCCTTCGTTTTCGTAAAAACAGATTTTCATCAAAGCTCATTCACTTGTTCTTATATCATACTGATTGAAATTAATTAATTATTTCTACGTAATATTTGATAATTTGTTGGAGGATACTATAGAGTTTCATGTAGAAAAGTTACTTTCGTGAGGGAAAACGTCTTATAACTTCCTTTGTAGTTATTATTAATGTTTAAATTATTTGCTGTACGAAGGGTTATCTATATGTTATACTACAAATTGTAGTTTAATTTATTGTAAAAAGAAAGATATAAATTAGCATCTCTAACTGTGTCTACGTGGAAAACATTATTTAAAGATGAATATTCATCAGTTTACTTCAATCAAACCGCAATTATAGCTCAATTGTAACATTTGTTTTAAATTGTCCCGGCGCCTCCACCAAAATTTTAAATAAATTTTTATTAATTACTTATACGGTTCGTGTATTTTCATGGACGTCGTATTTTGGGCATTCATCAAGAAAACTTGACTAATTAACTGCAATTAGTGACCAAATACTTTATTAACAGCTCCAAATAAAAACTTATAAGGGTTTTTCAATCAAATTTTACAAAATGATGTTTTTAAAAATATTTCCAAGTATGTAATTATTTCATAGTAATATTTGATGGTTTGGATAGTATTCAGTATCACGTAAAAGAGTTACTTTCGTGAAAAAAATGTTTTCTGACTTTCTTTGTAGTTTTTATTAGAGTTGTAATATTTGCTGTATGTTGGGTTGCCTATATACTATACAACTAATTTTAGTTTAATTTATTGTAAAAAGAAAGATATAAATTAGCATCCCTAACTACGTCTACACGAAAAACATCATTTAAAGATGAATATTCATCAGTTTACTTCAATGAAATCGCAATTATAGCTCAATTGTAACATTTGTTTTAAATTGTCCCGGCGCCTCCACCAAAATTTTTAATAATTTTTTTATTAATTACTTATACGGTTCGTGTATTTTCATGGACGTCGTATTTTGGGCATTCATCAACAAAAATTGACTAATTAACTGTAATTACTAATTCAATACTTTATCAACAGCTCCAAATAAAAATGTGTAAAGGTTTTCAACCAAAGTTTACAAAATCATATCTTTAAAAATATTTCCAAGTATGTAATTATTTATAAATAATATTTGATGGTTTGGATAGTATTCAGTATCACGTAAAAGAGTTACTTTCGTGTGAAGAAATATTTTCTAACTCTCTTTTGGTTATTATTAACGTTTTAATTATTTGCTGTATGAAGGGTTGTCTATATAGTATACAACAAATTTTAGTTTAATTTATTGTAAAAAGAAAGATATAAATTAGCATCCCTAACTACGTCTACATGGAAAACATCATTTAAAGATGAATATTCATCCGTTTACTTCAATGAAATCGCAATTATAGCTCAATTGTAGAATTTGTTTTAAATTGTCCCGGCGCCTCGACAAAAATTTCAATAAATTTTTATATAATTGCTGATAACGTTTGTGTATTTTTATGAACGTCGTATTTTGGGCGTTAATCAAGAAAACTTGACTAATTAACTGCAATTAGTGACCAAATACTTTATTAACAGCTCCAAATAAAAACTTATAAGGGTTTTTCAATCAAATTTTACAAAATGATGTTTTTAAAAATATTTCCAAGTATGTAATTATTTCATAGTAATATTTGATGGTTTGAATAGTATTCAGTTTCACATAAAAGTGTTACTTTCGTGAAAAAAATGTTTTCTGACTTTCTTTGTAGTTTTTATTAGAGTTGTAATATTTGCTGTATGTTGGGTTGCCTATATACTATACAACTAATTTTGGTTTAATTTATTGTAAAAAGAAAGATATAAATTAGCATCTCTAACTACGTCTACATGAAAAACATCATTTAAAGATGAATATTCATCAGTTTACTTCAATGAAACCGCAATTACAGCTCAATTGTAACATTTGTTTTAAATTGTCCCGTTCAATAATTTTTTTTTAATTGTTTATAACGTTTGTGTAACTATATCTATGTCTTATTTTCGGTATGAAAACGATATTATATAGGATTATGTGTTCATAACGACTATCAACGAATATCAAATTTGATTCCTTGTACATGCGAACAAAATGAAACAAAAGCTTTATACTGTGAGTTTCGTGTTTTTATGTTAGTTTTGGGCCTTTGTACGATTTTTTTTCGATCAAAAAGGATCATGATTTAACAGTAAATCGTAGAAAAATCTATTATTAACAAAATTAACGAAAAATTTTGCGAAATATGTAGAGAATATGTAATATATCTGAAAAAGCTCGATCGATGCGTAAGCTTTTTTAAGTAACGCGTAATCATCAAATTTGTACAAGAAATCCTTCCAATCTTCAACAGTTAGTTAGAGACATACTAAAAGTAAGAACAGGAATTAACTAGGACAGATGTAGGCCTGTATTAGATCGTAAATAGTTAGGGAATTTTAAAGATTTGTTCGAGATAGGAAAGAACGCAAGTGCGTGTCCAATCAACCTCTAACTTTATTATTTGTGCTTCACAATTAATTACATTAATTGAAATGATCAATTTCATTGCTCTTTTTCATTACAATTTTTTCCTTATCTCCGCCTGATATGATAAACAATTTTACAGAGATCAAAATTCGTACATTATCGAAAATTAAATAAATCATGCTTGAAGAGTTTATATTGCAATAAATGTACATACTTGTGACAACATTTGTAGATAACAGAAAAATTGTTGATATTTCTTATGAGACAAATGTAGTTCATACACATTACTGAAAAAAATAGTCGACAAAACAAAAAAAAAATTATTACAAGAAGAAATAAGATTTGATTCGAATTTTTCTGTAGCCACACGTTCACGTAGGAGAAAATTATAAACGGTATTCGCGTTACTTATTTAAATTCTGCGTAAAACAACACCAGTTAAAATTACGTGATAACAATTACTACTTGAATAACAGTTTATACATACATATGTATCTGCACCTGAATACTTATCACACAAAGTACAATTGACAAATAGTTAACGTCAAAGGAATTATTCATATTTCTCAAAATAACATTTAACAGCGTAAAAGAATTTTAACATTAGTTTCAGCTATGCGTACATTATGTAGGCGCTTGTGTCATACTGTATAGTGTTGTATATAAAAGTTTTATATATTGTTTTTGCTATGTCATCCAATTCATTATCATGAGGTAACAAACAGTTAATACTTTGGGAGTGAAATGTATATTACTCTACACTGGCGATTAGTCATTTTTGTGTCTAATTCTAAAGTTTAAAGTTAAAAATATGTGTTCTAATTTTTCATGAACAACGGGAACGCTGCCGAAATTTTTTCACAATCATCAGATAGATCTAAATATATACTATATTAGACCGTAGGTCCGTCGATAAAAAATACCGAACCGAATGTGTATGCGTTTTGGTTTTTTTTTATTATTATTTTATGCTATTAAGATATTCGGTGATAAGACAATGGCCTGGCAAGCGATGAGTGATAAGAGTCGTCACCTACGCTGTGTGTGTACTTATTTAGTTACGTCTGAAATTTGAGAGAGTTTATTAGATACTCGAAAGGAAAAAAAAAAAGAAAGTCAGTGGCGAAGTAATAAATAGAAGTGCTGAGTCAGAATATACATGGGGTTATCCACGAGCTATATATAGCTGATAAGAGAACACTATCAACGCGAACTAACCAGTGGGACATAATTTTGTGAATTTTATTAGTGCGTGCTTATCATGTACCAGGGAAACATCTTCGTCTGTAAAGAATTGTTCGGAATGAAAAATTCTGTTTGTTTTGAGGAAAATTGTTGTTCCTGCTGCTCTTGCTGCAACCATTGTTCTTGTTGTTGTTGTAGTTGTACCTGTCCTTGTTGTTGTTGTTGTTGTTCTTGTACGTCATAGACAACGAACCATTCAGTCAGTAAGTTTTACTATTTTCAGCAATAATTCTTAAGCATGCGCACAGTCCGTATAAATATACTTAAGTCGCTTCTCCAAAGCGAAAATCGAATCCTAAGGGAAAAATTACTTACATTTTATCCCTTCGAGTTGGCAGAATTACGTAGTTGTGTCGTAATTTATTGATAAGAAAAACTTTCAACTTAAGTATTCTATTACATGCGTACAAACACATGTACAAACGTATTTTGTTTAAACTAATGCATTTATCGTCTTTCGGTAAATTAAAAAAAAAAATAAAATTTTCTTACCACCTTATTTTTTAAGGTCCAAAGCAGATAACGTTTTCACTGTGTAAAGTAATTTTTATCTGAACAATTTCGTATTAAAAAGAAATGATATAATAAAAGCTCTAAGATTATTAGATAATTGGGTTAAGGTCATTTTCAATTTCCCCATAAACACACTGTTTATATTTGTTCATTTTTATTGTCGATGCTTGACAGACATTATTATTTTATTAGCGTTTGAAAAAAAAAATCTAATGGTCGTAAAATTTATTTTCTTCGAACTTTGAGCGCCATAAACGATACTTTTTGTTCTTTTCTTGATAATCCTAAATGAAAATGATAATAAAAGATCTAGCAATGTGTCGCAAAATAATTTGTAATATTTTTCTTCTGCCTGCTTGAATAAACTTACTTAACAAAGTAACTTCTGATTAAAACATTGTATTTGATATTTTTCTACGAACACTTCGTATATGAGAGGAAACCCAAATAAGGACGTAAAGGGCCAAATATTTTGTACCTTGCAATAAACTTAAGTCCTTGGAAAGACCACCTTATTCCAAAAACTAGTGTGGTTTAGCAAAAAGAGGGGATCTTTGGTTTTAATTAATTAATTAATTACATATAATTATAAGTTAAAATAATAAAAAGGCAAAATTGGACCTCTTTATTCCAGGAATGTATACGATGCGTATGCTAGATGGCAATAACGCTATCACAAACCTAAGTATGAATGGTACTGGGGCGTCATCAATGTCCAGAGCTGATATTGAACGTATGGATACGTCCAGTGATAGTGCGGTCAGTTCAATGGGTTCTGAAAGGGTCCCATCCGATGGGGAGTGGTGTGATGGAGGCTCCGATTCGGGACATACTTCTGGGGACCAATATGTTGTCGACTATCACAATACGTAAGTTTCTTATTTTTTATTCCATGACGATTTTCTACCTTTCCTGACTTAATCTATCTCTATCTATCTTTTAAATTTATTTCAATCATTGGATTTTGAACGAAGTTGTCCAGAAATGTATTTATTTTATTCTGATGTTTGGTAAACTGTTCTGAAATGTTTTTTTTTGGTACCTGATCATCTTAGGGTACAAAATTGAGTCTACAGATACCTACTGGTTTGAACTAGGGGATGGAACATATCATTACGTACATTTTCAGTATTCTATGATGTCCATATTAAAAAAAAAAATGTTTCAGTTATTCACAGTCAAACCAATAATACATCATTTGTCCCAAATTTTTTTTTGGAATCTGTGTTCTCTCCTTGAAATTACGTTCCCATTAAGATTTCTTGAAACTTATTTCTTGGGCTTTATTTATAGGAAATACAGACCTTTTGACTATAGTTACACGAGTCGTCAACATACTAATTCATTGGGAAGTACTGAGTCGGCAAGATTACAGCCTGTCGCCCAAAAGAAGCACCAAATGTTTGGGAAGAGATATTTCCAGGTAGGTAGTTACGATTATTAAAAAAAGGTAATTTCAAACCCAACTAACGATTGTTTGCTTATTTTTTCTGTTAAAGGAACAAGGGACTACTAATTCGATCTCTCAGCCTCCAACCCCGGTCAAATACGAATACAAAGACCCAAGTAGTACCCCTTATCATAGTCCAAATCATACAGAAGGTGCCGTTGGACCGAAGATTCCAGAAATGAAGTATTCCTGTAGTATGGAATTGGCTAGACAGAGCCAGCTTGGAAGGAACCCATTGGATCACATTCAACACAACCATACGTACCATCTTCCAAGTGAAAATGCTGGCGCAATGCAAAGGCCAGTTTCTCGTGATAAGTTAAAAGGCAAAAAATCTGACGAAGAACATCTCACCAGAGATGAGAAGAAAGCTAGAGCTTTAAATGTTCCAATTTCAGTTGATGATATTATAAACTTGCCAATGGATGAATTCAACGAAAGATTGTCCAAATACGATTTGAGTGAAACTCAGCTCAGTCTTATCAGAGATATAAGAAGAAGAGGGAAGAACAAGGTAATTTCTGAAGTGCAAGTGGCTTTGAATGTTGAGTTTTTATAGTGAATTATTTTTAATGCTCCAGGTTGCTGCCCAAAACTGCAGAAAAAGGAAACTTGATCAGATATTAAATCTTGCTGATGAAGTTAAGGAAATACGAGACCGGAAAATGAGAATTGCAAATGAACACGAGTACATGATGCAAGAGTGCCAGAGGATGAAAGACAAATATCAGCAACTTTACCGACATGTATTTCAGGTAATTTGTTTTTCTTTTACAAAACATAAAGAATAGACTAACATGGTTCATATTTTTTAGAATTTAAGAGATCCCGATGGTAATCCGTATTCTCCATACCAATACAGCCTACAGACATCTGCAGATGGGTCCATTTTAATAGTACCAAGAACAAATAATAGTTTGTCGAATTCTGAGCGAAAGGACCCGCCACCATCGCAAGGTCACAAAGAATGAACAAAAACAATATTGTGATAATAGGCGAAAAGTTTTATCCTTTTATTATTTTAATTATACTTTAATTTTTTCGTTGAATCGCATGTTTGAAATTTTGCTCAACCAGATCTACGTTACATTACCTATTTAATGAGGTTTTTTCGTTCGTAATATCCTTGTATTTTTACGAAACGGACAGTTTTGTAGTTAGTTGTTGTTAGAGGTCAGCTAATACAGAAGAAAATGTTTATTTTTCGTTTTAATTTTTTTTTTCCGAATGAATTTGGTTCTTTTGATTGATTGATTAATTAATTTGATACGTTGATGAGATGATGTTTTTAAAGGTATATTTTTCTAACAGTAACCAATGTCAGGTGATCACTTTGCCTTTCTTGTATTATAGCGAATGAATGTGATGCATCTAGTGAGGTGGTAGGTTGTGGGTTGTACTTTAGTATGTAAGTACTTCTACTATTATTCAATACATGCCAGTTAGTACCTACTATTATATAGTCCCAAGTTTTAACAGAGCCCTTTGTGAATAATTGGTAAAAGTTCACAGATTCCTAATTCTTCTCAGTAATTAACATCCGTACTTGTTGTTAAATGAAAATTGCCATGTCTTGAATTCGTAACTACACAATATTTTTTTATAAATTGATAAGTTTTGTACATTGTATAGCTAATATGTAAGTAACACTGTACTATATAGTTTTTAGGTAATTATTTAGCCTTAATTAATTAAAAGCTTTAGTGTCGTATGTAATACATCGTAGTTTTTAACTTTAAATGGCTGATTAACGAAAATTAAATTACAATACTGTATCGTTATTATTATAATAATTAACTGCAGGTCGCCTAGAATGGAATTTGGGTTAAAATATTTAATATTAGTTCTTTTTTTGTGACAAAAACAATTTTATTTTAGTTATGGTAACGATACCAGCCAGGATCTCTAGTAAACGTCTTATACATATTCTGTATTTTGGTGCAAATAAAGTATTTTGAAAATTTATATTCATTTATGTTTATCACTACTTGCGTGCACGACTGTAAACTTGGTCTTCTTAATTTTGGGCAAAAGATGGTGTATAAAGGACTAATTTTGAGTTTTTTTATAAAACAATGTGATCAATGGTTATTAATTGTGTAGAAAGTCATTTAAATTTTTCAATTTCTTGACGTTTTTCTTAATAAATGAAGAAATTATCTGTTCTCAAATTATGTGTAATAATTAGTACTTTAGGAAGTTGTAAAGCATTATCGATTAAAGTCGTTATTTATAAGGTCAATTTGGTCTTCCTTCTTATTGTTAATAGTGTTTTTTCAATATATATTGCTTGTTTTTGTATTTTTACCATCTACAGTTATTGTGCATCGCACTGTACAGTAAATTCCTCAAATAACGTCAACCATCTTGAATTTTTGACATAAGAGTTTGACAGCTTTGTGTTATTATTTGCTTGTTATTGTTAGAATTTATGTTTTGTTAAGAAAATTATCTAAATTCAATAAATTAAGTGTAAAAAACATGTAAAAATTGTGCTGTTTTAATGCTGTACGTAATACTAGTTCTGGTAGTTACTTTTATTAAAAAGAAACAGTAATAATGTCCAATAAAGAAGATGATAATATTTGCTGGTACCATGGAAAATTAACTCGTGAAGCTGCTGAGAGTGTTTTACTTGAAAGTAAATTATTATTTATTACCAGTATTTCTGTTCAGCTAATACCTGTTAATTGTAGGGAAAGATTGTGATGGATATTTTTTGGTTCGTGATTGTAACACTTCTGATGGAGATTTTGTACTATCTGTAGTACACAACAGTCAAGTAAATCATTACCAGATCCGTAGACATACAGACGATATATTTTTTTCACTTCGTACGTATTCATCATCTTTTATAATGCACGAAAAACAGTTTTTGTTATTACAGAAGAAAACACAAAGATTCATGGACTAGAAAGTTTGATAGAGTATTATCAAGAAAATTCTGATGGAATCAATGCTGATGGTTTAAAGTTGACTGTTCCATGTAAAGGAGAGGCCCCTCCACATAATTGTAGAAGACATGGGCGTACCAATCTTTTACACAGAGCAACTAGTCAAGGAAATTACAAAGTTGTTTCAGAAATGCTCAAAACTGGTTATAGACATGAAGCAAAGAATAAGGATGGTCAAACAGCAGTTCATATAGCTAGTATGAAAGGTCAAGATGATATCCTTGCAATATTAATAGAACATGGTGCCAATGTAAATTGTAGGGACACTGCAGGCTTTACTCCATTACATGTAATACCTCCTTTTTATTTTGTTTTTGTGTTTTTTGATATATATCAATTTTAGTATGCTTGCCAAAATAATTTTGCTAGTACTGTAAGGCTGTTAGTACAATCTGGTAAAGCTAATATTCAAGCTAGAAATACAGAAAATGGTTGGGTTCCTCTTCATGAAGCAGCTAGTCGTGGACACAAAGATGTTGTTAAAGAATTATTAAGCCTTAATGCACCAGTTTTGCCAAGGACCAACGATGAACACTTGCCTTTTCAACTTGCAAGGGAAAATGGACACACTCAATGTGCAGAAATTCTGGGTAATTCCTTTTTATATACTTTTACTTACTACAAGTGACACCTTTAATATTCTTATTTCTTTTTACTTAATTTCAATTTACTTGTTAGTTGTTTTCAAAGTGTTACATATAATTTTATTGTGTCTGTTGTATTAAAATTATTTGCAAAATCCTGTAACATTTTTTGTTTGCTTTTCTCTATTAAAGAAGTAACAAATCTATATTTTAGAAAACTATAGAAGCCCTCCTGCTAAGTCTTCAAAGAATCACTGGTATCATGGGACATTAGATAGACAAGAAGCAGAAGCTACAATAAAAAAATTCAGCATGACTAATGGGGCATTTTTAATTCGATACAGTGATAGAAACCAAGCTACAGTTTTAACCATTGTGAATGAGAACCAGTTTTATCACTACATTATTAGAAAACAGGTATTTATCATTTGGGGTTTACATGTTAATAAGAACTTAATGTAATGGTTTTTCAGGACAAGTATTTATATATCGACAGTGGTCCCTTTTTGGATTCCCTTGAGCATGTGGTAGATTATTATAGTTTTACACCGGATGGCTTGCCAACAACATTACAAATTCCTGTGCCTCCCAAACCTAAACCTCCTGTTCCAGAGGTAAGAACAGAGTAAAGATATTCCTAGCTGTTTACATTTGTTTATTTGTTTGTATATTCAATTATTATTGTGTTGTTTCAGTGTTCAACGATGCCTCGCCCTAAGAAAACATTACTAAGTACTTCACGTTCAGTGCAAGAAATATGCCAGGGTGAAGAAGCTCAGATAAATGATTTCAATACGTTGCCTAGCCATTTAAGTACATTGAAATTTACTACTCAAATCACTCCAAAATCCCTAAATAATAATAACAATTATGTTACTGAAATTAATGGAGACTTATTACAAAATAACAGTTACATTCCTCCTGAAAACCTTACACTTGGCAAAATAATTGGAGAAGGAGAGTTTGGATCTGTTCATGAAGGTAAACACAAATGTTTATTTCATAAGCAAGTTTAAAAAATGCTACAACATATTAATTAAAATAGAGAATAAAAAGTATCAAAAGTTCAAACAATTTTTATTGTCATTACATATTTTATTTATTGTAGGAATGTATGTTAAAAATAATGGAGAGCAAGTAAAAGTAGCAATTAAGACTTTAAGGAATCAACATATTGATACCAACAAAGGGGCTTTTTTGTCTGAAGCACAAGTTATGATGAAGCTCAACCACCATTGTGTTGTTAAGTTAATTGGTTTGTCTGTTGGAAATTCCTTCTTTATGGTACAAGAACTAGTTGCCCTGGGCTCAATGTTGTCTTACATCATTTGCAACAAAATTTCTATCAATCCAGACCATGAATTTAAAATTTGGGCTGCTCAAATTGCCTGTGGTAAGTTTTTCAGTTAAATATGTGTAACAAAATTGTTTTAATTGTTACTTTGCTTTTCTTGTAAAGCTTTCATGTTGGATTAAAATTACTCAGTGAGTAACTAATTGAATCTCTCAAAACTATATTTAATAAGTGTACTAATCAATGTTTTAATTACCAGGTATGAAATACCTCGAAGAACAACGCTTCGTTCATCGAGATTTAGCTGCCAGAAACATTCTGTTAGCTTCAAAGTATCAAGCGAAGATAAGTGACTTTGGTTTATCAAGAGCTGTGGGCGCCGATCATGAATATTACAGGTGAGAATTTGGTTTATGTTTTCAAAAACACACATAAATAACAAAAAACATTTAAGAACTTTATGGAAGTCTTATACAGTATTAAATTGATAATATTGATGCAAATATATTGTAACAGTAATTTATTGAGAAAACAAAAAATATATTAGAACTAGTATTAGTAATGCCATATTTAAACTAAAAAGTTAAAATCGTAATCTTGTTTTTTATTGTTTGTAGAGCAATGCGTGGTGGGAAATGGCCTTTAAAATGGTATGCCCCTGAATCATACAATTTTGGGACATTTTCTTTAGCAAGTGATGTATGGAGTTTTGGAGTTACTTTGTGGGAAATGTACAGTTTTGGACAACAGCCCTATGGAGAACGAAAAGGGGCCGAGGTAAGCAAAAATAATTTTTTTAATGCAATTTATATTATTTGCTAGAGCTAATGTGATTTAAATATTGATCGGCATAAAATGTATTAAATTATGTTAAATAATTATAGGCAATTGAAGCCATAGAAAATGGGGAGCGTCTTCCTCAGCCTGCTAATTGCCCATCGCGTATTTACGAAGTAATGTTAAGATGTTGGTCATATAATTCGGACAAAAGACCAACTTTTAGCGAATTGTTTGACATTTTTGCTAACGATACTGATTATGCGAATTTTTCAGAGATACTTAGTAACGTAAATTTAACACAAATCGTTTAAATTGTGATTTTTTTTTTAATTATTAACTGTTGTTAATAATGTCATTTTTAATTTTTGTGATTTTGCCTGTATCTCAGTCTGTTGTATGCATTTAGTCTATCGAATCTAAGGTATTAAGCAATATCGAAGTTTTTAAGCAATATGTTAGTATTTTATATTTTATTTATTAACGATTTTATTGTATATTTTATCTAGATGATTTATTTACAGTAATTTTTAAACCCATTCCATTTTGTAATATATTTCTTTTTTTCGGTGAGAAATGTTTTATTTTAATAATCTCAAACCTCTTAATCCTAAAAGTTTTTTAAATTTGATTTAATGACAACATTTTTGAATATTTTAAATTTTATAGTTACAATACGTATTTTAAGTAAGTTTTATGACCAATTATGGGGAAGAGTTGGACAATAGCAGGCCGATCCGCTATTCATTTCAATTATTCATTGAAATAAAGTATTTTAACTGGTATATTAGTGTTTTATTAGAGTTAGTTAAAAATAAACTGAAATAAATGTACATAATAATTTTGTGTAATGTTTTATTTAATATTTTATCTAGGATGTTATATCGTTTATTTTATTTTATTTACTTGTTTAATTAAAATAAAAACATAAAACAGCGCTCAGACTCGTCAAAGAAAAATAATTTAAGAATGTATGTTTGCTAGGTATATTTAAAAGCATATTTTCCTGAGGGACCTCCTTATCCCAGTTTCAGGACTTGAAATATGGCAATTTTTAGTAGTCAAAGTTACAAGTGTTATAACATGCAATTTTTTCAAATTTAATTGCCAGATTTTAACAGTTTTGTATATAGACAAAAGGAACAAAATCTGTAAAGTTATATTTTCCTAAGGGTCGTCTTTATCCCAGTTTCGGGACTTGAAATGTGTAAAGCAGATTAAAGTAGTTTTTGGCAGTGAAATATACAAGTGTTATAACTTACAATGTTTTCAAAATTCAATTACCAGATTTTAATAGTTTTGTCTGTAGACAACAGGAACAAAATCTGTAAAGCCATTTTTTTGTAAGGGTTGTCTTTAACCCAGTTTCAGGACTTGAAATATGGCAATTTTTAGTAGTCAAAGTTACAAGTGTTATAAGTTGCATGGTATTCAAAATTCAATTACCAGATTTTAATAGTTTTGTCTGTAGACAACAGGAACAAAATCTGTAAAGCCATTTTTTTGTAAGGGTTGTCTTTAACCCAGTTTCAGGACTTGAAATATGTCAATTTTTGGCATGCAAAATTGCAAGTGTTATAAGTTGCTTGGTATTCAAAATTCAATCACCAGATTTTAATAGTTTTGTCTGTAGACAACAGGAACAAAATCTGAAAAGCCATTTTTTTGTAAGGGTTGTCTTTAACCCAGTTTCAGGACTTGAAATATGTCAATTTTTGGCATGCAAAATTACAAGTGTTATAAGTTGCTTGGTATTCAAAATTCAATTACCAGATTTTAATAGTTTTGTCTGTAGACAAAAGGAACAAAATCTGTAATGCTATTTTTTCCTAAGGGACGTCTTTATTCCAGTTTTGGGACTTGAAATGTGTAATGCAAATTAAAGTAAGTAAATAGATAAGTTATGTGAAATAATATAACATTTTGTGTTCACTATTGTGAAGATATTTGTTTATGTTCTTTATTTATAAAACGGTAATATGCTTTCAAATTCATTTCTCTTCAATGAAAAATGTAAACCATAACGTTTTAAAACGTTAATTTGCTTCCAAGGTCATTTCTTTTCAATGAAAAATGTAAGGCAATTTTATAAAATAGTAATATGCTTGCAAGGTATTTCATTTAAATGAAAAATGTAAAACAACTTTATAAAACGGTAATATTTCAGTCACTTTATTTTAATAATAATGTAAGGTATTTGGTCGGCAAAATAATTTATGGTCCACATCAGGACCTAATAAGCAAGTGTCTGAAAATATACCTCTTGTATTGGTATATTTCAGTCGGCCGGCAAAATAATTTGTGTCCAAATCAGGACCGAATAAGCAAGTGTCTGAAAATATACCTCTACATTGGTATATTTTCAGACACTTTATAACGTAGGTATAATCCACCACGTCCCCAACCAACCACCGCTAATTAAGAGAGTTTAGAGACGCTCCATAAGAATTGGAAATCAAAAGTCCAGTGAGAGATAGAATGAGACATCTATTGAGAAATCTTAGAAGCTTCAATTGTAAAGAATCAAGGATTACAGGTTCCTGTAATTTCCCAAGTTACCGACCTTAAGCTTCGGGCTAAATCCGATAGATGGCGCCACAAGTAACGCTTCACTTAATTATAATCATGTATCAATGTAATTTCATAATTATCTAAGATTGTTACTTACCTGTATACTGTATCTTGAATAAAACTATTTTTTCTAATTATTTTCTTTGTTTAAATACTACTGGAAATAAAACTGTTGAGTGTTTTGATGATGTACGTTTATTATTACGTAAAAAACTGTAATTACTATGTTCTGCATTCAAATTGCCGTTTCATTGGTAATAAATATTTTAATCCATTAATAAAACTTCCAAAATCAATAAAAACCGTTTATAAATTGTTTTATAAAAATTACGTAAAATAAATAAAATACAAAATGTTACATCAAATCCTATATCAAAATTCTTATAATTTTGTATACCAAAATCCGCCGTTCTTAATATTAATTTACTTATTTTTGCTATAATTTAATTTAATAATTTANATAAATATAATAAATAGTAATTTTTGATATTTCACATCATTAATTTGAATTTTCCACGGATGTTGGCTTGGGGGATACGTTGTCTTGTTCGCTTTGGGTAGCATTTGCTGTATTGGAGTTTCCAAATGCTAAATTCAGAAGATGATTGAAAAAGGAAAGTCCTTGCTGAGCACTTTCACTGACTGCTACAAGTAGTTCTTCTTCACTTATTTCTTCATCGACTTCACTGAAATAAAAGAGAATATTATTAATGATGAGCTAAACATAATTATTTAGTTAATTTAAAGTTGTTTAGAGATGAATTAATTTAAATACAGACCTGGGATTTGTGGCGTTACTGATGATTCCTTGAGTGGCGGTTTCGGTGATGGGCAAAGAAGTCGCGTTAAATTTCATTCCACTTGGTTTTGCCGAAAAACATCCCACATTAATTTGAGTCTGAAATTCTCCAAGGACTTTTGGTTCAAGTTGCACACAACCATCTAATCCATCTGAGGTTGATTCCACTTTGAAAAAGTTCGCGCAAATTTCTGCAATGTTTGAAAATATTGGCATACATATTTGGCTTGAGTTTGGTCCTCTTATTTGGCCACTTTGAATTAGATTTTCTCCATACGACACGTTTACGGCAAGACCTTCCTCTTGGGATACATACTTCATGTGGACACACCCTTTGAGATAATAAAAAAGAAAGTCTTAGTGAAAAGTTTAATTAAACACAATCAAATTGTACCTGGTCCTCCCAAGTCAACGTAGAGAAAGTTGAAATCGACACAGCAGATGCAAGTTGGTCCATTACAGATGCATGATCTATGTGACGATTCTGAGTTAGAATCTGCCCTTTGACTTTGCTTTTCGGGGTTGGTGGTTTCCCAAGAGAAAATATCTGTAACAAAAAAAAATAAAATTAGTACAAACTAGTCTAATATAATTAATTAAAAGATGTACATCTTTACATCAATCATATGATAAAATTAATAATATATCGAAAGATTTATTCATTTTGGTAGTAATTTAAAAATTAAAGAAAAAGTGCGAACTTGAGTTTTTCGAACTTAAAAAAATTCTCAGAAGAAAATAGCGGTTTTTGCAACAAAAATTGAACAACTCACCGAATAAATTACCTCCCAAAGTAACATTTGAGGTGATAATTATAAAACAAATTATTGAAAACGTTGTTTTATTAAACATTTTACAGTTTTGTGGTGGTCAGTAACAAAAGACGCGGCAGACTGCAAGTACTGTATGATATTTATTGTTAGTATGTCTGACACGCCGATGGCATACTCCTGAATGCCTCTTCGACAGGTTTTCGTGACTATCAGGGTTACTAGGTCACATACTTTTTCCTTCCTGACGACGATACCGTGATATCCTAATACGATTTTGACCGTTGCATTTTAATTTACCGACAGAATTTAAAAGGGAAATTAAATAAAAAATTATTAATTAATTACTGATTTACGATATATAGTAATATAACAGTTCGTTTCTTTTAAAGTGTTACGTAACGATTATTTAAATGCGGTTTTTATTAACAATAAGCAAACATTAAAAAAGAACTAACAAAAATTAAAAAGATTAATAAGTTATTTTGTTTACCATTAGAAGCGATGTATGTCATTCCAAAAATACGGAAATACAAATACTTGTGTTACTTTTAATGAGCAATTTTTTAGTTGAACGCATGTGATATTAAAAAAGAAAATTAAAATTAAAATCTTCCTCCTTGTTTAGTTTTACACTTAATACTGACTATAAGCAGTAAATATTTTTCGTATTGTATATAACCATGCAAACCGTTTCAAAATTAATTGTAAAAATAGAGAACACTCTGTAGATGGGTTTATTAAATCAGTTGTCTACTTTCCCTACATGTTGAATTATTTTGGTATTGTTTGTGTATAAGTTAATGAACGAAAGAATGAAGAAAGTAAAGTAGAAGTAGTTAGCCGCATATTCTCGAATTGAATACATTTTATGAATTGCTTTTGGTCAACCGATGACCCACCAACATCAGTGACCGACTTTCAGCCCCCCTACACTTGTATGAAACCGATGAAGTGAAGTGTAGCTTAGCATTTCACAGACAACTGGAATCAAGTTCAATAGTGCTAGAAATTGCGACCCTGGATATAACATTCTTCTACTGTATAGGTAAGGCTACAGTTTGCTTATCAGTTTCTTGTGATTTTGCTTTACGTACAAAATCCTTGGGAGCAAATGGGAAAACCAGACTCTTAGTCCATTGCTCCTTGTGCCAGTCGAAAAACTTTTATACACTAATCCTGTTTGCCAGTGAAATTGAACAGTCACCTTAGCTATAATTTTTTTTGTTTTTAGAACGAAAAAAACAAAATGCGATTGTCTCTTATATTTGAACTTTTGTTGATATTTGTTTTGCTTGCGTTTGCAGCCTCAAGGGTTATAGGTAAGTCTTTTTTTTTTATAAATTAATTTAGTTTATATATCGAACCAACCAAAAATACATTTGTAATTTTAGATACAAACCAAAGTCACAAAAATCTCAGAGAGGTCCATCGAGGATTAAAAAAGAAGCATATAAATCTAAAAAACCAACGTCAAACATCTTCATCTGTTAACAAATACTGCAGTTGTTCTTCGAAACTGTGCAATTGTTGCAGGGAGTTTAACATTCCCGTCGTTGCCTTGCAAGGTCCAGGATGCGCTTCATTACAATACCTGAGTGGAGATAGATTGGCTATTTCAATGAATTTTGGAGAAAGGGTTTTGGCCAACACGACAATTTCAGGTATTTCATTGTAATAATAAAAAATTATTTGAAATGGTGGAATGAACGAATAATTTTCAGGTAAAAAGCCTAAACCAGTGTGCATGCCTCTCCCTGGGGGTGTTTCCAAGTTCTGCGGTCGGGTATACAACATAGGTCGTCAGGGTGACGATTTTAGAGCGTGTCTTGGTCTGGAGTTACGCGCATTGGACAATGTTGAAGCGTCATTGAGAGTTTCCTGTTTCCGTTTTGGATCCAAAGGGTTAAAAGTGGAACCTGCTCAACCCCTTCCTGTTGTTCCCCAAAAGGCTCAAAATGAGGACAACGATGATGGCGAGGACGACTACGACTTTGACGACGACGAAGATGATGATTATGATGACAATGATGTGGATGGGGTTGATTACGAAACATTCGCCCTTATAGATGATGATTTCATTGGTGGATTCTTCGGACCGGAATCTGATAGCGTTCCATCGAAACCTGTGAAAAAAGTAACCACCAAGCCTCCCCAGAAGAAAGTTTCTTACAAAAGACCAACGACTAAAGTTCCTGCAAAAACTACAAAGAAGCCACTGAGGAAAGCTACTACTGCCAAGCCTTCTTCCATCCAGCAGAGCATCCCTGCAAAAAAAGTATCTGTACCACAACAAATCATCGCCAGTTCCACATCACCAAGTGTCCAAGTTATTACTAGTGAGACCATTACCATTCAGGAAGTATCTATGAACGAAGCGAAGCCGATTGAAATGATGACAAATAATGAAGTAACTCAAAATGATATAAACGAAAATTCTGTTAAAGCTGAAGTTACAACAATGGCTAGTAGCATTGGTACTACGTCTGCCGAAGAAATGGTAGCAACGACTTTGAAATCGGAAAATTCCAGCAGTGTCGAAATTACCACAATAACAAATACCGAAGAGTCTTCAGAAGAAGACGAAGATGACGAAGACCCAATTACTTCGGCCGTCGACGAAGTAATCGGGGAAGAAGATGAAGACGATGAAGAGGATGATGAAAAAAATGACGAGAAAAAGGATGAAAAATTGACTACAGAAGCACCCAATGAGCTACCCAAGGAAAAAAACGTTAAAGACGTTAAACAAGACGATGAAGAAGACGAAGAAGATGATGATGACATAACTTCTGTTGTTAGTGGTGTTGTAGATACTGTAACCGGTGAAGATGACGATGATGACGACGACGAAGATGATGAGGAAGATGCCAGGAAATTTGGAAAGAAAATGCCCACGTCGCAGTCGGTTAAGGTTAGAAGTAGACAAAGCAAAGATATGAGATTAAACTGGTCTTAACTTATAAATTGAAAAAAAGAAAGCTCAATTACCTGTTATTTATTATTTATTTATGCTGTACTTATAAGTATTTATTGTTATTTACGTAAAAAATAAAGATTTACAAACTTGACATTGTTCTTACCAAGTAAGTATACAGTACGATGTCGATATACTGTAATTGGGTCATAATCATCAACCGTTTCTCTAACCTGTTCTTCCGTTCAAAGAATAATTAATTCGCCTTTTACTTTGGAGCATGTTACGATCGAAACAAAATTAATCAAACGGTAAAGTCGAAGAGTATGTAAAAGAAATCAATTAAGGTGAATCCGTGACGATGTAGTAGTATGTAAAAAGTTACCACCACAACAAGTGACTGATACTTTAAAAGTATCTAATGTAAGATTCATTAAGTATTTCTTGTCCTCTGAACATTTAAAAAGAATCGCTTATCACACCTAGAGAAATTTCCTCAGCAAGCATCTCATCGTCAGTCTTTAACTCGAACTGCTAGCAAAAACACCGTTTCGGTTAACTTTAAAACACATTCACTCAAAATGAATAGCTTAGACGTGATAGCGACTCTTATTTTTACGCTCGTCTGTTCAGTATGTTCAAAAGGTGAGGAAACATATTCCAATACGTTTCTATAACGTGTTGTCTTTAAATTAATTACATTTTATAGAAGTTAAAAGAGAAGAACAAACTACAGTTGTTAGTTCCACACAAAATGCGTTAGTTGTTTCTACTTCTACAACTACTAGAAGACCCTTTTTGCCTGGTGCCAGAGCCCCATGTTCCTGTTTGCGTGGGGATTGTGGGTGCTGTACGGGGATACTTTTAGAGAGATTACGACAAAAGATATGCGCCAATGTCACTTTTGTACCGGAAGAATTAGCTTTTCATGCCAGATTAATTGCAAATGGAAGAGTTCTTTACGAAAACACCCTTTCAGGTAATATTCAAATAAATTATACTACTCTATTAAAGAGATATTTACTATACGTTTTCCAATAGGAAGAAACCCGCCGCCAGTATGCGCCAGAATTCCTAGGATTCGTTTTATTACCGTTTGTTTAAAATTTTCTAATGTCTACTTTGCCCAGAGGAATATTCATATTTGTATGGGATTGGAGGCCAATTGGGAAGACTTCACACTTTTCGATTTTTCGTTTGATTGTATACGATTTGGGGCGAACGGGCTAGCTACCGTTAATCCCGTTGAAGGTGGAGGATTGCCCGGGAATCCTCTCGATTCTGAAGAACAAACCGACGAAGATTATGACGACAATGCCAGAAATGAGCCGTTTCCCATTGACATCAGCGAATCTTCCTGCTACGTAGTAAATAATAAATTTATCATTAAACGCCTACCGTCATCAAATGAATTTCAAATAAATTTGTATAGACCATAAGATATTGAATGTGAAATAAATAAATAATTTATTACCAGGTACGTGAGCTTTATTTTTAATTATCATACACGAGAAGGAAATGGACGAAAGAACTAAGGGAAGGTGTTAACAAGTTAACAAGACACTTTCTATGAAATAAACGTACGATTAATATAAGGCTTTCTGTAGACGTTAAAGCGTGCGGTCGTGTCATTATGTTGACCTGACGGTACTCTTTAAGTAGGACTTTGATTTCTTTTTAACAGCAGTTCGCTTTGGTGACAATATTAGCAGGAATTATGCTAAGAGACACGACGAAATGAAGATCCTTCTTTTTCTTCTCGCTCTGTGTTATCTCCAAGTGCACCATGCTCATGTACGAAGTAAATTAAGTAAGTACACATCGCAATAATTAGATCTTCTTTCATTATTTATTAAAAAACAAAAATGTACCGTATGTAGTTACTTTCTGCTCCACACTCCAGAATAACTAAAATGAAACGGTACTCACACATTTAATTCAATACAAAATAATTTGAAATTTCAGATTTCGACATCATAACTGGATCAACGTACTACGACCTTAGTTCGCGACTACCTTTGCCGGTAAAATCAATCGAGAACAATCTTCAGATATCATCTGACTTCTATAAAACTGGCCTAGTTCGAAGAGTTGGTTTTCGACGCAATGGTTGCACATGCCAAACATTAACCTGCGGATGTTGTGTGGGCTTCAACTTTCCGCAATTTAATTTTAACAGAGAAGGTAAGTCCTGAAAAGGAAAAATTTAATTTCAAAAGAAAATAAAATATTAAAAATTTTGAAATTTCTGATCGGCACGGATTTCGACCGCACACGTCCTATAATTCCGATAGGTCCTACCGTTTCCCAGCTACAGCTCGCACAACGTTAAACTTAGGAGCTGTGCGCTCGCGAACATGGTCGCGATTAAAAATCCATAGCTCCGCAGATGTACGTCCGATCCGTACCAAACCTGGCTCGTTCGAAGGGCAATGAATGCGGCAAGTTTTCGACGGAAGCAATTTTAAATGCTGACACTCCTGGTCCGCGTCAAAGCCGACCCAATTCGCGGAATTTGCTTTTTGTTCTTTGTAGTATTTTTCCGAGGCCACAGGACGGCCCCTATTTCCGGACTGAGTGGACCGATCGCAACGGAAGTACTATCAAAATTTTCTAGAGCTACTGTGCTCTGCGCCGAGAGCAAAAGCGCCCATCTGCGAGGTTCCGTTTCGGAGTTATGACTGTCGGAAGTTGTGGCAAAGTGTTGTCTTCGAAATCGAGAATTAAATATTTAGGAGAACATATCTGGCGAACTATTGAAGATAGCGCAAAAATTCTTTCACCAGCGGGTGGCCCGCACCTAAGTGTACGGGAAAATTTCAATTTCGAAGAAAAAAATTTAAAAATTTTAAAAATTTTTGAATTTTTCGTCAACACCGAATGCGACCGCATACGGCCCATAACGTTCGCACTGAGACGGGGCATCCGTCTGTGAAAGAATTTTTCCGATAGGTCCTACCGTTTTCCAGTTACAGCTCGCAAAACGTCGGTTTTAGGACCAGTGCGCTCCCAAACATGGCCGCGATTAAAAATCCATAGCTCCGCAGATGTAAGTCCGATCCTTACCAAATAGAGCTCTTTCGAAGCCCAATGAATGAAGTTTTCGACGGAAGCAGTATTAAATTCTGACAATGCTGGGCCGCGTTCTTACAGCTGTCGAAATCTTTGACCTAGTGTTATTTTTGAAATAGAGAATTAAATGCTTAGGAGAACATATCTGACAAACGGTTAGAGATAGCGCAAGAATTCTTGTACCAATTTTATTTAATCTTTTTGAGAAGGATTATGCGTGATTTTCATTTACAGGATGTATGAATTTCACCTACAATCCCAATGAATTTTCTATAACGTCGACCATGTTATTTAATGGAAATTCTGTATTTACCAACACGATTTCCGGTAAGTGATATTTTCGCATGGATTACTGAGTACTTGTTACTACAAATGCCTTTTTTATTTGCTATTAGCTAAAAATCCGCCTCCAGCATGCATCCCAGTACCAATTCCCTATTTACCGTCAGTTGACTTTTGTGTACGACTGTTTGACATTCATACACCAGGACAGAATTTGCATATGTGTGTCGATTTTGAAACTAGAATCCAACGAGCAACTGTTCTTGTTTTACATTTCGACTGTATACGTATGGGAAATGATGGAGTTGCGTTAGTTAAACCAGGCGCAACGTTATCACCTTCGACATCTACCGATTCGCAAATTGATTCCGACGTTTTTGATGAGATAACAGAAGTGAAAGTTAAAAAGAACTTAGGTTCTTCAAAACTGTAGGTCAGGGTATTCTTAAAATCTTTAATAAAGAGGGATATTAAAATCTTAATTGTTTTTATTCAATAATAATTGTTAGAGTTTATTAGGTCTACAAGTGTGATCTGAATATAAACTGCAGGTGGTGGAATTTTTTGATACATTTTTAATCATGAACCAGTTTGAAATTAAAAGGAAAATTTAGTAGTGGGTAAACACCAACCAAAAGGGGCTATTTTTTACCTTTTTGCTCCTGAGAATATATCAATTTCTAAGTAATTAATTTGCGTTGGTATTTATTAACAATAAAGTACAATTTACTAGTAAGGAACCTGAAGGAGCCACTGTTTGACAAGTATTTATACTTATAATTAAATACCTTTTCTGAAAAAGTATTTATATGTGCATTTAATTTTTTGTATTTTACCCAAGTTTGTCAATTTCCTTTTCAATATTTATAATAATTACGTAAATGAAAATTAGTATGAGCAATTTCTTATGCTGAATTGTGCGATATGTTACATATACTTATTTTTAAACAATTCCTTTAAATTGTAATCATTGATTAAATTAGATTAAAAAAACCATAATGGCCGACAACAGCAACAATTAGAAAATAATGATGGCCGACAACAGCAACAATTAGAAAAAAATGATGGCCGACAACAGCAACAATTATAAAAGAATGATGGCCGACAACAGCAACAATTAGAAAAGAATGATGGCCGACAACAGCAACAATTAGAAAAGAATGATGGCCGACAACAGCAACAATTAGAAAAGAATGATGGCCGACACTACGTCATAGTGGAGCAATAGAAATGGCCTACTATTGACAATATGAATAAGCTATTTTCGATATTATCATTCTATATATTACTGTTGAAATAATTTCTATATTTAACAAAAGGGCTCAACGTTATCCCAGAAGTGAAAGTTAAAAAGGACTTACGTTTTTTAACACTGTAGATCACTGTCTTCTTAAAACCTGTAATCAAGAATAATAATAAAATCAGAATTGTTTTTATTCAATTAATAATTGTTAGAGTTTATTCGGTCTGCAAGTGTGATCTGAATATATACCTACTTCAGGTGGTGGCATTTTTTGGTACATTTTTAATCATGAACGAGTTTGAAATCAAAAGGAAAATTTAGTAGTGGGTAAACACCAACCAAAAGGGGCTATTTTTTACCTTTCTTGCTTTCTCCTGAGAATATAACAATTTCCATGGCAGTAGATGATTTAGGAATATGTCCACGAAAATAAAAAGCTAAGTAATTAATTTAATATTTTATTTTGCATTGATAGTTATTAACAATAAATTTTCAATAAAATACAATATAACAGTAAATGTTAGANAGGATGTGTAAAGAAGTACAAGAAAAATTTGAAGTAGGTAAAACCAATGAGACGCATAATATAATTAAAAGGAATTTTAGATGTAGGGTACAGTAGTAAAAATATAAGAAACGAGGCTGGGGTCATTTTGATAGAAAATGAGGAAAGGGCAGATAGGTGGAAAGAATATTTATAGAACCAGTATGCAGGCCTTGAGTTAGAGAAGGAAGATAATGTGGAGATAGATGAGCTAGGTTATCCCATAATGAGAGAAGAGTTCGATGTAACATTAAAAATCTTAAAGAATAATAAGGCGCCAGGTGAAGATGGGATACAGAGGGAAATTCTATAACATGTAGGACAAGAGGTTAGAGATCGTATGTTTAGGCTAGTTAGTCACATTTACGAGACGGGGAAAATTCCAGAGGATTATAAACGGAATATGGTAGTAATCATATCTAAAAATAGAAGCGCGGATAGGCGCGAGACATTTAGAACAAATCTTAACTAGAATTGTACAGAAATTCGAAAAAGGTTGTTAGAGGTGTATGTTTGGAGCACGGCGCTGTACGGGTGCGAAACATGCACAGTGGGCTCGGCGGAAAAGAAAAGGTTAGAAGCGTTCGAAATGTGGTGTTACAGGCGAATGATGAGGTTAGAGAAAATTAGAAATAAAGAGGTATTAGAAAGAGTAGGAGAAGGGAGGACTATGGAAGTCAATATGACATGAAGTCAGAGACATATTAGAGGAAGAAATGGAAGTTAGGAAGGGTAGAGGTAGATCTAGATGAGATTACTCTTCGCAGATAGTTAAGGATATGGGTTGTTCTAGTTTTAGGGAAATGCGAAAATTAGCTCAGGATAGGAAAGAGTGGAGGTCCGTGTCCAACCAGTCTTAGGACTGACGACCTTATGATGATGATAGTAAACGTGTATTGTAACCCTTAATATACATCTGAACAAATAAAAAATGAATAACGATAAAAGCAAATGAAGGAATAAAAATTATGCATGATCGAATTTGGGATGTAATACCTGGATTTTCTAGTAAATGATTTTATTAGAAGAAGTACCCTTACATATATATTTGTATTTATGACACTCCATTCAATCTTGCTATCCGTTCCATACTTAAATTTCAGCTTTCCATTCTTATTATAATGAAATTTAGATTATTGACTAATATTAACCCGAGAAGGAACAGCAACAGTGGAAATGTTTCAAAAATGTAATGGAAATAAAAAAATTAATCAAATCCACGTCTTTGTGTTCTTGTAGGCCGAATAATGAAGAAATAAAATATTTAAAATTAACGAACATAAAAGCATGAGATATAAAAATGTCGATAATCTGGGGGTGTTATTCAAAAGGGAAAATTCAGCGTTCGTTCTCCTTTTTTAAATTAACTTGTAGCTGTAAAAATTATTTACATCAATAAATTTAAAATTCATATTCAAACGCCTGTATAATATGAAATTTTGCCGATATTCACGGCGAATGCCGTAAATCTATTATATCAACACGCAACATGAAATATTTTGTGTATAGCTACCCCTAGAGTGGCCCTCGATTAAATTTGTCGTAAATAGAATTTATTTATAGGGTGTATTAGAGCCAACGCGAATTTGCAACGGGAGTTTATCGCTTTGGGAATCGGTGGACGGTGTTGGCCGTGTTATGTCAGTAATAACCGATAAATTATCCATAATTTATTTGTTATTCTCCACCACCAAACGCTTAAACGTGTACCAACAACTTCGATTAGCGTGACCGATCTGATACAACAATGGCTGAGAATTTCTAATCTTTCATTGAATTTTTGTATAAGGGAAAACTCGTATTATTATTATTATTCGGTATAAATTACCTTATCATCTAATATTATAAAATGAATTACGCAAGTGATAGCTAATACTATAAAACGAAATTATTAAAATTCAAAGGCAATATTGTCAGATTAGTAGCATAACGGACAAAATATTACAAAATTTAGTAAAAAATATTAATTTTGTATTTAATCATCAATTTAAGTTAGATAATAATTCAAGAATATACACGAATTANTTAATCATCAATTTAAGTTAGACAATAATTCAACAATATACACGAATTATACCAATAAATTTGATTTGAACATATTCAAAAGAAAAAGATATCGTTCAGATTTAGAACGTATCCAATGTTTTAAGTTCATTTTTTTGCCGATGTACTTCTTTGGTGGCGCCAGCTAGTTAATGCTCGGACAATCCCCGCTTTCTATTTTTGTTGACTACGCAAGTTGGCTATTCTATCCCTCGAAAATTATGTGACACGTAATTTGAAGTTTGATGTTGTCAGTGACACTTTTGCTGAACAGAAAGCCAGAAAAAAGGATTTTAATAATAAATATTTCGCTAAAAACATTTTTTTCTCATCTACGCTCTATAAGTTAAAACTTACTAGATAGATAATTAACCAAAAATGCACACAATAATTATAATAGTGTTGGTATATGTACATATCTATTTACTTCATGATTTATAAATATGAAACTACAAGGTGAAGCTTTTTGTATGTTAAGAGAGAGCCCCCTCTGATGAATTTGCCACGGACCGGTGATATAGTTACGCTACCGTGTCAGTTACTTTTTTTTTATTTAAATGATTGTATAAGAAAGTCTAATAGGTATTATATCAAAAGCGGAAAAATTCTAGGTAATGTTAGTTTACAGAAAACTAATAGGTATTATAATCCTTATGCCCTTTGATGTTTACAAGTAAAAGAATATCCATATGTTCGGCTTTCAATTCGCCACTAGTATATGTATACTTTCAAAACTAAGGTTTACGTAGATTGCATGTACATGAAATTTTCTTGAAATTTTTGCGCCGAAAGTTCGAGCTTTATCATGCGCTTATTCTTCAAATTAATCCGAGATTCAATGACACCGATGAAAAAGTGACTACGTACGTGATGAAACGGAACTGGATGACGTGTATTGTCATTTTCGTTCTCGAAGCAACCCTTAACTCAATTGCCCTTCGTGTTTTTATCGGCATCCAGCGGTCGACTTAATCGTTTAGGCACTAAGATTAATTCGTTTTGTACAGCTGTCTGCTCCAAAGCTCGACCGTTTATGAGCATTCGAATGGCTCTTAGGAGTCTTGCATGTGTATGTATCAGTACAACGTGGAAATAAGTTCCTTATTTGTATGAGGACACAGCGATGCTGTTTAATGGATTAAGGGTTAGTATCCAATCGAACTTGATGTTATATCCTTGGCAGATTTGGCTCGACCCTCTCGGATCAGTGTTCGAATTAAGTGGTTTATGGCTGTAGGGAAAACACAGAAAACCTATATTCTCGGATAACGACAACGTCTTAAATCAAATTTTCTTTGAGGTACCTCATTTGAAACAGCCTCAGAACAGACCGAAACAGTTTACCAGCGTCGATGTATTCGTTTCGTTTTACCTTGTCCCTAACGTGTTCGTGATCAGATGTATACGCACCTTTATAATCGATTTTCGAACGTTTTGATCCCCTCAGGAAACACTCGTAACTTCCTTTAAGATGTAAACAGAGAAGATTGTTCGTTTGTCCTACAACCGATCCTATAGCAGATAATATCATAGCTGTCGATCAACCTTCCGCCTACTAGATAATACCACATGATGATGATGATAAATATCCGAATGATTTAAAAAATATTAAAAAAAATTTTTTTTCAAAAAATTATTATTGGTTAAACAGCAAATTTAACCGTATGTTTAATGAATTAATAAAAAAGTGATTTTACTTTCGCTATAATAATCCATTTGAACAAAATCGTACATTTAATTATAAAACTGAAATTTTATACGTTGAAAATAAAAGACACAAATTGTCCTTATTAGAAACTATAGAAATTAGCTTATGAAAATATTATGGGCGATAACCTCAAATAAAAAGGACTTCAACTGTAGAATATAAGTTCTAATTAATAATAGTACTACTATTGTTTTGTGAATTTGCAGAACTCTAATA